AGGGGCAAGAGATGAGACTCCACTCTCCACTCTCTACCAGCAGGTAGTCACAGTATTGTATCTTGTACCAGGATAAAGTCAGACACCTTGGCACTGACAATTTGAATTGTTGAGGTCTGGGCTGAATCCAAATTACCATATATTATCCCTCTGCTGAGAAAAGTATCAGGCATTTTCTGAGTTCACTCCGGTGATGGACAAACATGGACTTATGGCTGTAGGTCTAATTAGAAGACAACTAGAAGGTGCTTAGAAATGCTGACACTAGTAGTTCTGTATGGACTGTGTGCTACTGTCACAAACCTGCTTAATGAGATTGAAGTGCAGAGGAAGGCCTCTCATACAGCTCAGGGTTCAGGGGCCACTGATAGTGGTCTATGTGGGTAGCAGCTGACACTTTGCTGGAAGGATGCCAGGAACAGAGCAGATGGTAGCAGGAAGATGTCACAGCAGGGCAGGCTGGTAACAGGCAGATGAGCCAGATAAGAACATGCTAGACTGAGGAGCTGTAGCAGGCTAAATGAACAGGATGCAGGGTCAGATAAGCCGAGTTGGTAACAGACAAGAAGATTAGGAATAAATGGCAGGCAAGAGAGAAGATGGGTCACAGGCCAGTGTTAGCAATGGTGGAGGCAGATCAGGCAGAGGCAGAATCCGGACAACATGCCTAGATCAGGGCAGGTAACAGACAAGCAGAGTCAGGAGCAAACCGGGTCAAGATCAGAGGTCAGTCACAAGAATGAGGATAAACACTCACAAAAGTTGTAGACCAAACAGCAAATGGAGCAGTAGCTCCATTTTATTGGCCATTTGACACCAGCCTTGGTGACAGGCATACGCCCGGTTGCACCAAGACCACCACATCCACTATCCAGGACAATCAGACTTCCACAGTATAAGCCTTTGAACCCTTACACCCAGTATTTCTCCTGACATATTGCTACCCTGTGGACTTGTTCCCCTTGCAGTGCCATATTTGGGGGGGGTTTACAAAAACTGGAGCACAAAGAATCTTTTGCAGCTCTGCAAAGTTACCAGTCAGCATCTAGGTTTTATTGTCAAAGTTTAATTGAAAAAGCTGAAGATCAAAGCTGATTGATTTTTATTCACAACTGCACCAGATTCTGTCTGCTCTGGTTTTAGTAAATCCCCTTCATTATCGTCCTGTGGCCTAATTCACTAAATAGACATAGAAAGGTTGGCTAGAATCACTTGTTTATAGAAAGACAAATTGATCATCAAAGGACTGCTATGTAATAACCACTTTTTTGGTTATTGTTGGGAGACTTTTTTAAAAGTTTGTGAAACAGAAAGATAAGTAGCTCTAAGCCAAAGAATAAAAATGTAATATATTTCAGCTTACCAGTCCTTATATATGGAGGTGCATTTGTTTTCTTACATTTCTTTTTTTTTATTTGATTCTCTCCTGGTAAGCCTGACAGTAGCAAAATGTCTGTTCTAGGGTATCAATGCTCATTTCCTGTACTGCATCAATGGAAGAGCAACATTGTCACACCAGGACAAGAAATGTGCTAGGTCTACAAAAAAATCTCTTCTCACCTTAATAACATGGCTGGGAGGTGTTCTGTTATCCACTGAGTTGAATTGAGAAGAACTGATAACTAATTGGGCGAATAAGTGCTGCACAGTATGTTAAAAGCTTATTGGATTTATAGCTGGATCAACAAGTATTTTTATTCCTTGCAGCATTTTTGAATATACAAAATACAGGGAAATGCAAATATATTAGAGATTCACTACCAGTGTACAGCAGCTTTCACCAAGCAAGCAATCCCAATAGTCTGTACTCTGATCCTTTCCACTGCCCATTGAATCTATTTCCTCTGCTATCTCTGTATCTGCCAGCATATAAAGGTAAAATTTACAACAGAATGGGAAACACACCATTTTGCAATTGTAGCTCAGTAAGGTCAAGGTTCAGAAAAGTGTCCAGTAGAAAAGGTTAGTGGTTACAACAGAGGACAGGTTGTGTGTAGACGTCAACACATAGCATGGAGCTTCTACAAAGTGAAGTTGGCCATGCAAGTTACTACATCCAAGCTAAATAATGTGTTGTCAACAACATGTTATTTCAATTTCACTGACAAACGTCCTCTAACTTCTATTCACGTAGGTGACTTGAATAACTCAGTTTGCAATATAAAAATAATGTTGCAAAACAAACTGACTTTCCATTTTTTATGGCAACAGGCAGAATTTTGCTTTTATTGCTTACTTGAACTGACTCCATTTCCCCACACTGTCCAACTAATTGCCAGCACTAAATGACAGGGTCCAAAGTGTCAGCAGTAGGGATTAGTAAATCTGACTGGGTTTGGCTCATGATCAGTTTTGCAAATCTTGCTTAGAGTTCCAAGTCTGCAAACCTTGATACAGATCCAATTGAAGTCTATGGGGGAAGGGGGAGGGATTCAGGCCATTTAGGACTAATAAGCAAGCTTTTGTCAAAACAAGGTCCTGGAAGTGGGACACTGTCAGGGGCGGACTGACCATTTGGAAACTCGGGCACCACCTGAGGGCCCAGGGTCAGTAGGGGGCCCCATGAGATGCCCCTGGTACCTTTTTCATAGGTTTTTTTGAGTTTGGGCAAGGACACAGGGGCCCCATGATCCCCTATTGCCCGGGGGCCCCATGAGTTGTCAGTCCGCCCCTGGACACTGTCATGCAGGACTTGTACCAATGCCCAAATTAATAAAGTAAAAGATATGGCAGCTGTGAGTCCACCCTTTCATAGATAGGGGGCTGGATTATACATCCCTGCAAATTGTTTCCTTTTTTTGATTCATCTGACCAGGGGCAAAGGCTATGCACAGCATTATACCATAAGTGTTCCTCATTTCTTGTTGAGAACTTACAAAGTACCCATGGTAGCCACAATCTGGAACATTATCCTTAGTCAAGACCAAATGCCTTTTTGAAAAATATATATTTTAATCATTAAAGCTCCTGCATTTGTTTAGCAAAGGCATGACACTTTCATTGACTGCTCACATTTAGCAAAGGGAATAAAGTGAAACAATGTTTTCATAACTCATACCATCATGTACAAGGCAAATACTGTATTTGAATTCCCATGCACATGGATGAGAATTCAGGGTGTCTCTCTCTCTGTTGCAAAGTGAACATTTTATACATCTATAGTAAATAAACTCCAATGAATAAAATAGATACATGAAGCGGATGCCGTCCTTGTTTTCAGTCATTCTCTGCATTCAAACTAATGTTAAAAGCAAGCTAAATGCACACAAATCAATGTTTATTTTGGCCTAGATTTTTAATTTTGGATCTCAAAGCAAAGGAACTGCTTGGTTACAGAGCATGGGAGGTGATGTCATCCATAGACATCTGTTGTCGGCTGTCCTCTTCGACACGAAAGCCAGAACTTGTGGCCGATCATACGATTGGACCATAGTCAGAATAGGTAAATACTGACATATTTCCTGTACAGGGTAGTTAGAATAGGCTTAGAATGGGGTGGAAACCTTACTACTTACAATTTTGTCTTTTTATTGTATTATGCAAATAACAATCAGAGCAAAAAAAGAGAAAATCCACAGTATATTACAGAGTGAGACAAAATTGTCTTGCAATACTTCCCAAACAGAGAGGAGGAAAGTATATTCTCAGTAATCTACTGTATCTCAGCTTAAAAAGTATACAGCATGAGATACTTAGAGCATTACATGGCAAACTCAACATAACACCAGAGAAGTATCCAATATGTACCTACAGTGAGCATACAAGCATAGAAATGGCAGTGTACATCAGTCTTGTAATGGAAAGATAAGTGTCAGAAAAAGGAGAAGGGACAAAAATAGAAAGAGAGAAGAAAAAGAGAGAAGAAGACGTCCAATGTCCTCTCTGACTTAATGGAACCCACAGTCCCATACCCACCCCCAAGGCAGAAAAGGAAGGGTTACATATAGCGGGGACTGGAAATAGTCAAGGTGAATATTCCATGGTATGTCATAACTCCCAAACCCTATTATGTCTATCCAGGGAGTCATTTAAGGTAGCAGTAAGCTATTCCATCCTTTGGACATCCCGGATCCCAGCATGAAGCTTAGTCAGAGAGGGAGGCTCAAGCTGTTTCCATTTAAGCACTACTAAACATTCTGCTGCTGTAAGGAGTTGTGATTGCAGCTGTTTGGATGCTTTATAGAAATTACAAGAGGAGAGAGGACCCAAGAGAAAAGTTTTAAGAGTAAATGGGATCCAGGATCCAGAGACTTGAGGGATAAGGACATGTACTGCCCACTAATAAGGTTCGATGAGAAGGCATGACCAGTAGATATGTGGGAGTGTTTCCAGATTATTCTTACATCTCCAGCATCTGTCATCTGCAGGGGGGCATATAGAGCATAGCTTAGCTTGTGTATAGTACCAACGAAAGAGTATATAATGTTTTTGTTTGTATAATGTGAAAACAGAGCTCTTCGCTGCCTGAGTACATATTATTTGCTAGGTGACAAAGATAAACAAATAAAGATTTAGTAAATTTGGGAGATTAACAGCATCAAACAAACAGCATCAATTTAGAAAACTGGAGGGATTTTGTCAAAGATTTGGCATAATGGTGAATTCATAGATATTCATAAAAAGCTTGCCTAGGAAGATCATGGACACTTTGAGGATCCTGGAAAGATGGTACAATCCTGGTTTTGAGGTCCATTATGTACTACCTCCAAATTTCATAACCAATGGGCATGCTGACTTAGGGATCTTACATCCACTACCCTAACATGATTACTTGGTACGTCCCATTATATATATTTTGCACACGTATAAGCTTAGTTGCATTCTTCCCAGCAGGAACACTACATAACTGGAGGGTACCCTAGTCAAATAACGATGTGGTCACACCTATTTATCTCTCTAGTTCTCTTTTATGTTTAATTTAGTTAGAACTTGACTGGACTTCAACTTTAAGAACATCAGAAACAATGCCATTCAGAAAGATATCGGTAAAGACAGAAGGTACCACAGATGTTATTTTGAAGCCTGCTATGTCATTGCAAGGATAAAGGAAATTGTGTTATGACTATGGTTAATGTTGTCCAAAGCAGGGGCGGACTGATAACTCATGGGGCCCCCGGGCAATAGGGGATCATGGGGCCCCTTTGTCCTTGCCCACACTCAAAGCACACCAAAAAAGCCTATAAAAAAGGTACCAGGGGCATTTCATGGGGCCCCCTACTGACCCTGGGCCCTCAGGCAGTGCCCTAGTGCTTGAATGGTCAGTCCACCCCTGGTCCAAAGATAATTTTGCAGAACAGTCTAAGTGAAAAATGACTGTGTTAAAAAAAATAAAATGTTATGTTTTCTCTCCCTGTGCTGTGCATATCCTTTGTAGACTCTTTATAGACTCTTTGCTGTCCACAGAAAATGCCTACAGAGTGGCTGAACACCAGTTTTAGTTTGATGACTGTAGGTAAATGTGACATTGGACTGTTCATTGGCATGACTGCTTGTAGTCCAACTCTAAATTAAGCAGGAAAGGGGACAATACTGTAGCTGAACTGAATAAGCATTGTCACCCTAGGAAGGAAAGTGTCTGTAGTTAGACTTTGCTTGTATTATTTCACTGAAAGCAGACCATATAAAAAAAGATTAAAGCTCCATGCACACTGGCTTAAAAAACGCCAGTGCTCTTGGCAGAAACAAAATGCTAATTTTGAGCATTTTTTGTACTAGCATTTGGAAGCGTTTGGTGTTTTTTTCTGCCAGAAAAACACTCTAAAATATGCAAAACAGAAGGGTTTTTTCTAATGGAAAAAACAGAATGGTTGGCTGCACAAACAGAAATGTGGTAGATGAAATCCTTTATTGGAATCCTTTACATGCAATATGATAAGAACATGACAGCTCCAAGACAGGACAGAGGAGCAGTAGATGTGTATCACACAAACACGTGCTTAGTCATTGTAATGACTAAGCACATGTTCGTGTGAAACGCGTCTACTGCTCCTCTGCCCTGTCTTGGAGCTGTCATGTTCTTATCATATTGCATGTAAAGGATTCCAATATTATTATTATTATTATACAGTATTTATATAGCGCCAAAAGGTTTGCTCAGCACTGTACATTATAGTGGGGGACAGTACATGAGACAATGCAGTAACAATACAATACACGAGGGGTTCGAGGGCCCTGCTCTTTCGAGCTTACAATCTACGAGGGAGGGGATATTGGCACAGGAGGAGGTGGCTGTGGGGGATGGAGTGGTAGGAGGAGTGGAGGAGATCGGCAGTTAGGTGAGGGTGGGGTAGGCTTCTCTGAAGAGATGGGTTTTCAGGGTGTGCCTAAAGGTGAGGAGGGTAGGTGACAGTCTGATGGATTGGAGTAGTGAGTTCCAGAGGATGGGGGAAGTCCTTGAGAAGTCCTGCAGTCGGGGCATGGGAGGTGGAGACCAGGAAGCTAGAAAGTAGGAGGTCTTGTGAGGAGCAAAGAGTACGGGTTGGGTGGTATTTGGGTATCAGGTCAGTGAGGTAGTTTGGGGCAGCGTTATGAATGGCTTTGTATGTCAGTGTTAGTAGTTTGAATTTGATGCATTGGGCAATCGGGAGCCAGTGGAGGGAATGACAGAGGGGGTGGCAATAAAGGATTTCACCCCCCACATTGCTGTTTGTGTGGTCAACCATTCTGTTTTTCCATTACATCTGTGATCATGGATCGGGCCAGCACCTGAGCGTCTGTGGAGTGGTTTATGCAGATTCAGCACTCACCTGGAGCGGATCTTTTGCTCTTTTAGAAGGGTTTTCTCTGCCTCGAAATGCTGAGCTTAAAAATTGCCTCTAGACTTACTAATGTGCATGGACACATATGATAACATTAGTTGCTTCTACAGGCAAAATGCTAAACTTGTCTGGGAGCTAGGGGCGGACTGACCATTTGAGCACTCGGGCACTGCCCGAGGGCCCGGGGTCAGTAGGGGGCCCCATGAGATGCCCCTGGTACCTCTTTATTGTCTTTTTCATAGGCTATTTTGGGTGTGGGCAAGGACACAGGGGCCCCATGATCCCCTATTGCCCAGGGTCCCCAGGAGTTGTCAGTCCGCCCCTGCTGGGAGCATCATTTTTTTAAGTCAGTGTGCATGGAGTCTTACATTTTTAACATTATGGGAACATGTGCAACAACATATTTGATTTAAGTGCTTGGGTTTACATACACTTTAATGATTTCAAGAACTTGGTATTTTAAAACAATAAACTGGAGCTCTACTTAAAACCTATTCTTAAAAAAAGCTGAATGGAACATTCTGCTCTAAAAATGATGTATGTCCAGAAAATAAACACTGAATTAAACCTTCTATGAGAAATATTGTTTTGTACAGTTATATAAAGAAACACTTCTGTAGAGATTCTGTGAGTGACCTAAAACTGCCCTTGATAACAAGAGGCCGGGAATCTTCCTTAAACTGAAGAGCACCAAGTGTACAATTAATCATAGCTCCTCTGGTGACATAAACCAGTCCTGGCTCTGTAATTGACATTCCACAAAACCTCACTTTCTCCTAAGGGAATATCTTTGGGGACATGATGCATAGAGTTAGTACCAGCTGCAGCTTTGTCTGCCATCCAGGATCAAGTGGGCAGGCTGGTAGTTGTGAAAAGACTGAAAGGCCTAGCAGATTTGTGCTTGGAAGAGCTCAAAAGGAGATGCTTATTTTCCCCGTATCGTATGTCTTTGTAGCTTTAAAATTACCATGTATGAAGACAAGAGACAACTGAGTATCAAGTGAGAATGGTGGATATGACAGAAATACAACCTGAAAGGAGAATGACCTCTTGGTTAATACACTCGGCAGTAATCAAGTAAGAGAAACGAGGGCAAGGTAGTCATCAGAGAGATATTTTGAAGTTCTATACAGGAAGGGTTTATGGCCTCATGACACATTGATGATACGCTTGAATCCAGATATATCCATCCTTGTTTCACTATATCTAGTTTAGTATAACACATGACAGCTGTCCAGCATATGTGAGTTTGCTGGACATCACTGCAAACACCACACAATATTTGTAGCACAGCAGAACTCGGACTGTAAAAAGGGATTTTAATCTTGTATTTGTACATTTTAACATTTTGGTTGGCCATTCATGCAAAGATGACATACAGTAAGACAGGACATGTTGAATTTTTGTGTAGTACAGCCCATTCCAATGTGCTATAGCACAATTCAATGTGCTGCCAGGCATAGAGTTAAATAAGTGAAAAGTTAAATAAAATTTAACTTAAAAAAGCAGGAACTGTGATGTGTTTTAACAATGCATTGTAGTACGCATACAAAACTCCAGCTAATGAATATTTTAACATGTGCCCGTCAGTGTGAATGAGTCCTTAAGGTCAGTATGTCCTCCAATTTTTATGGACTACTCTTTCATTTGGCAGAGGGAAAAGGCTGCCAACTATCATTTTTAGTACTGCTTATATTACGGCACAGATTGTTTCCAATGTTGTTACAATCATCAAGCTTTGCATTGTAGGGATTACTCCTTTAACACTTAAGTGAACCTGTCACTATTTTAAACTTTGAAATGTAAATGTCCCACCTAAGAGCAGAAGCCAGGAGCTGTCTGTTATTACCTTTATTAGCCACAAAAGCCTCTTGTGCCTGTCTCTAATTTAGTTTCACTTTGCCTTCACTTACGGCTAAGCTCCACCAGCTGCCTTTCCATTATCCAGTTAGACTGCCTTAGTTGTCAGTAAGGATTTAGCCAGTAGGTCAAAGGGAAGGTCAGGCCCCAGTTAAAAAGTGAAGCCAAATCAGAGAGAGTTATAGAAAACCTTTTGTGTACCCCGTAGTGTACCCTTTTATATGCTGCATTATGTACAACTGTTATTGTGAGTTAATGCGACATATCATTATAATTTGTATGACCACTGTTTTTTCATTGGCAACAGATTCATATTTTTGTTACATTATATATTAAAGAGTACACAATGAGGTTGATTTTCTAAGACTGGAGAGTGCAAAATCTGGGTGCAGCTGTGCATAGAAACCAGTTGGCTTCCAGGTTTCTTTGTCAAAGCTGAATTGAACAAGCTGATCGGCTACCATGCACAGCTGCACCAGATTTTGCACTCTCCAGTTTTAGTAAATGCACCAAAGTGTCTTCTATCCAGTATACATTTAGTTTTGAAAGATTAATTGGGGTACATGTTCACTGTACCATTTTAGTCCATGGCTGGCTGAGACAGAGACTGTGTAAACTACTCAACAAATATGTCTCTGTCCTTAAAATACTCTCTAGGGTTGGTAATTGCAGATGTTTAAAGCCAAACCTATTTAAAAAAGTACATTTCCCCCCTCCCCCATTCTGTTCTATGCATGCTCACTTCTCATGCTTTAAAAACAGCTGCTGCTCTATGAACCTTCAGATTTTGAAACCTTCCAGGTATGGGGAAAAGCATGGTATGCTCTTTTGATCAGTGACAATTGTCATGGGGTAGCTGTTGTGAGATGCTGGTCTATTTTCTACCTTTTCTAATTTCCAATTTCCAAAAATGTTTTTCTTTAATTATCAGATGTGTGTGTTGCTGAACAAAGCAAGGTCACCTGCAGCAGAAAAAGCCACCAAAAGGCCCTATATGTGAACAATATTTTTTCCTCCCATTCAATTATCAACAAACTCTTACTATGAGAGATAGATAGATAGATAGATAGATAGATAGATAGATAGATAGATAGATAGATAGATAGATAGATATGGTACCCTGAAAGCTGTGGTCAGGCAGGGAATGTGCATTTAATTGTAGTTCAAATTATGTCAAGAGGAAATGGGAGAATAATTGTCCATGTCTATGTGTTAGCCAAGAGCAAGGTTAACCTCCCCCCTTCCACTTCTCAACTGCCCTATAGGTAAGCAGTGTTAAGGTGGGAATACACGATTAGAAAATCGACCGATCAGTCATCCGACCAATCTGAAAGAAACGTTCGTCGGGCAATACGTAGTGTTGATGTCTTCCGTACAAGTGGAAGTGATGCAGTGTGCATGTGACCTTGTAGCCACACCCTTCCGGCCAGAACGAGCGATATACACAACAATTACCGGCAATGAGTATAATATAGTTTATTACATTAACGAATACATAGTGATACATAAAATATAATATACATAATTCTGGTTTCATTATCTCATTAGGGCAATCTACTTTTAACATTTGGATTTTTCATTCGTGTTTACGAAGATTCCTTGGACATAAACATCCGGATCATCTTCTGTTTCCGCTCATGCTTGAAAGTGCTTGATAGATTTTTTTTTGTATGACCGCCATACCACTGCATAGAAAATAGGTCGTTCGTATGCAAGATGACAACATTTTTCACTGTTGTTCAACCAGATTTTTTTGTTCACAATATCGTTATCAGTTAAAACATCCTGCTCATCAACAAAGAGAAAATCATTCGATCAGTGGTTCCGCTAAATTTTTTGGACGATTTTCTTATCGTGTGTACAGGGCATTAGAGCATACGTTCACCTTTTGGAACATGTCACATGTATTTAGGGTCAAACATGTAACATATTCCAGCTCCAGTTCCCCAGCTCGGTGTAAGGGGGAGGGGAGGGATCTTCGCACTGCACCAACTGTCACAATTCAAAATTAGCCTCAGAACCTGTGTAATTAATATGTGTTTGGTTTTAAAGAGATGTGCTGGCAACCCTAAGCTCCACCCACAGGGCTGCGTCATTCTTTTACAGTTTAATGTGAATTCATGAACTACCACTACTACCAGCCTACCAGCTGCTGGCTTGTAGTTCTGAATGAACTGCAAGGTTGCTGATTAGCAGAATTCATTTAAAAGCCCTGCAGCTTGTAAACAGCCAGACTGCATGAAGGTATGGGCTGAAAACTGCAGGGTTTCTCTGCAGGAATCTGGTATTGCACCTCTGATCCACTGATCAAGGCTCCTTATGGAAAAAATAATAAATCCAGAATTTTTTCCTGCAAAAATATGTGCATTTATTATTTTTTCCCAAAAGGTGAACTTATCCTTTAAGGTCTAGGTGACAGCAACAAGGGTTTATAACCTGGTATAAATGCCCCCCCCCCCCTTACGCACAAATGATTTCTCTACTATTGTGCAGATTGGTATTCAGTTTGCACCTCATCTACCTTGTAGAATTCTGTAGCGCACGCGCGTGCGTGCGTTCGTGTGTGTGTATATAGAGAAACTATTCACTTAAGTTGGCAAAATAAGTCTGGCTCTGCTGAAATTACATAGCGCTGTTAATTATAAATGTGTACTCTCTTATTTTTCTAAGAAACTCTTCAGCTTACTAGAGGGCATCATGCTCTTAATAACACAATTCCAAATTCCATTAACATAGGCATAAAGAAACTGCTAGTTTTAATTACAAATTTATCAAAATTAATTGAGTTCTATAGCTATATAAAGTCAATGCTGAGCAGCATTTAGGGATTTACATTTACAAATTGACCTTACTTATTTCCTGCAGTGGTAGAATATCATAAGGCTTTCAGGTATTTTGCACCTTAAAAAGCTATGATTCTACTACGTTTTGTTATTGACATACATACAACATCCAATACAATGATATACAACAACCAATAAAATGCTAATTTCATTCAAAGTCTGTCTTGTGTGTATTTGGGGTATGGTTGTTTGGGGGCTGCATTTTTTTCTTAGCCAAGGTCTTTTACATACCCTTGATGGCACAGTGCAGAGAATAAGGTTGGTTGTCATTTCTCTCTTTCAGGCTGGAGGAGCCCTGGAGACAGAAGAGAGTAACCTCAGACAGCAGAAATGTAGTGCCTGGAGCACAGAACGAGGTTGCCAGGAAGCATTATGTAGATTAGAACTCTGGGTTAGTAACAGGGATGCAAATGCACATTCCAAGCCATGCTTCGGAATCAGGTGCCAATCAAGAAATAAAATGTAATTTAACCCAGACTATGAAAAACTGTTATTACATGATATATAACAGAGTGTGCATACTCACAAAGCCACTAAAGCATTTGTTTTGTGCAGAGTGAAATATACCTGGTTGATCCTGCCTTCAGCTGTCCCTCCCATCTTCTCTGTGTCCCCACTGCAGGCATAGATTGTGTAGACCAGCTGTGTCCTCTGTTGAGCATGCTCATACTCAGGGGCAGACTGACAACTCATGGGGCCCCTGGGCAATAGGGGATCATGGGGCCCCTGTGTCCTTGCCCAAACTCAAAAAAAGCCTATGAAAAAAGGTACCATGGGCATCTCATGGGGCCCCCTACTGACCCCGGGCTCTCGTGCAGTGCCCGAGTTTGCAAATGGTGAGTCCGCCCCAGCTCATACTTCAGTTCCCTTCTAAGCTCTTAATTTCCTCATTTTTCTTATCTGTACGGCCCACATGAGTATAGAGACACACATCTCGGCCTATACACAGTACTACATGACACTTCCCTTCATCCATTTTCTTCCATGTCCTCCTATTGCTGAACAATATGGGGGTGGGATACAGTATGCTGATTGATTACATTCACTAAGAAACTTAAAAAAACTGAATTTTAATATAAATCAAAATTAAATATATCAAATGTATTTGCTAATACATGTAAACAAAAAAATAGCCTTGGATGCAGATGCCATCTGAACAAAATAAAAGCTGGTGTCAATCATCTTTGATTCCCTCTACACCATATTAATGTACAAAAACTACACATCTGGTGTTCAGTAAACATTTATAGGGAACTAGAAAACAGTTTTCTGATATTTGAAATTTAATTTGAATTGCTCTTCTGAAATGGGTTTTTAGTGACTGACACAGCACCAATCAAGGCTGTGCAGAGTTACAGACAGACTCATACTGTAGTAATAAAAGCCCCTCCCAAGGATCTTTCCCTGCTGATGCCAAAGAACAGAGAAATATCACGCAACAGCACTACATGAAAAAGGTACTTAGAAGATTAAAAAAAAAAGCAAAAATAAAAACAAAACAAAATACAGTGGCATAATATACATGATTTATGTGAATGAATTATGACAGTGAACACTTCTCTGTTCAGTATCACTTTAAGATCATGTGTATTCTGAACAGCCACCAAGCATTAGGCCCCATTCACACCATGAAGCTTGCTTTTTTACTGTTTTGCAGTGCTTTTTGCAGTTCATTTTGCTTTTTTCTACATGCGTTTTTGATGAGTTTTTACTGCATTTTGCAGTTTGTTCAGCTCTTTTTTGTTAAGGTCAAATTTTTTTCATTGCTGGACAGCATAAAAATGCAAAACGCAAAACATGGTGAAAACGCACTACTATGCTTTCAGCAGCTTCTCCATTGAACTCTTTTAAAAGCAAAAAGCAGCGTTTTTGCTACAATAAAGTCCCTTTACAAAAACGCAGGAGCTCAAAAAAAGCATAGATAATAGGAAACCATGGACTGTAGTGCGTTTCTGCAAAAAGCACAAAAAAATGCATTGGTGTGAATGGAGCTTCAGGCAAAACCTTCAGGTTTAGCTGGTGAAGTAAGAAGCAAGATCCACAAGTCATGTTAGAATAGAACAGTTACAGCTGAAGATAAGCAAACACAAGGCCTTGTAAAGTGTCAACCCCAAAAAGTAAAACCTTCTTAATATTTTTTAAAATGTCTTCAAAAAGCCATAAACCATATTTTTACAAAATCATCCACAACTTGGCCCCCAACCAAATCAATTTCTTCCCAAGAATACTTACTCTCTAGCTCCCTTGTCACCTCTTCCCACACTTGCCTTCATGACTTTTCCCAAACCTCTCCCTTTCTATGGAACTCTCTACCCCAACTTGTCCAGCTATCTCCTACTCTGTCCACTTTTAGGTGATCCCTGAAAACCCTTTTCTTCAGAGAAGCCTATCCTACCTCCATGTAACAACTGTATTTCCACTTTCTCTATCAGCTCATCCGCCCACAGTTATTACCTTTTGTATCACTTGACTCCCCCATTTTATATTGTAAGCTTTAACAAGCAGGGCCCTCTGATTCCTACTGTACTGAATTGTATTTTAACTGTACTGTCTGCCCTTATGTTGTAAAGCACTGCTCAAACTGTTGGCGCTATATAAATCCTGTATAATAATCATAATAATAATGTCGCCCTTTGTGCATACAAACTTCCCTTACACAAAAAAAGTACCCACTGATCTTTCCAGTCAATCAGCCTTCCGTGTCATTGATGGCATCTATCTGCAGGCTCATAGGGCCTGTACTGCCTGGTTTGGTGATGGTGCTCAGCCACAATTTGTCACATATCCTGGTGGAGCTGTTAGTCAAGAATCTGTTCCGTCATGCAGGCAGCAATGCCTGTGAGGTGGAACAGATGGTTGAATGACAGCTCGTCTCTGCTCCACATGAGTCTTGTAGAAGGGTCTAAAAATGCTGGAGCATTGCCACAGGACATGTGACCTTCTGTGACTTAGCACCATCCCCAAGCCAGGCTCTGCTGAGATAAAAACAAAAAAGGAAAAATTCACAGGACCTCTGAAGGAAAGCTTAATAAAGATATTTAAGACATTTTTTAAGATATTTTTACAGTGTTTTCTATGAAAATCAATTGATAATGGTGTTCCCTATCTGTTGAAGGTGGGGAAGCTATGTGGGTTTAAAACCACTTCCTGAGTTGGGTATGTTTGCCCCCTTACATTTTATTTGGACACACTTTATTTGGACCTGAAAATTGGCTTAGGAGATAATGGGGATTGAGGTCTCGAAAGACCCAGGCACTTTCTTATTCCATGAAACTGAGATTACAGTAGAAAAATGTAAGAACTCGTTGGCATTTCACCTGCTAAATGCAGCAAAGTGGTTGATACCTAAATTCTGGCAAGATCAGGAAATACCAAAAAGAAAAGATTGGATAAGTAGGGCTGACTATGTATACATGATGGAGGAACTCTACCACCAGGAAGAAGATAGAATGGAGAGATTCAGAGAAAGGTGGGAGAAATGGAATAAGTTCAAAGAGCAATTTAAAGAAAAATAGAGAGTAGATAAGAAACGAAGAAAAAGAAGGGTACCTCGAGAGGGAAGTGAGAAGAGGAGGAGCAAGAAGATAAGAGGAAAAGGGTAAAAAAACTAGGGAGCAGATTGGGAAAAGGGGGTGGGAATGAGAGGGTGGGGTTTTTCTTTAGAATGAAGATATATAAGGAAATTGTGTATTTTTGAATATTTTGATACTTTAATGGTGTAAGTGATATATTGAAGATTAATAAAATATTGAAAAGAAAAAAATTCAAATTGGCTTGGTGCCTGTTTACTGCCACATCTTCATGTATCTCACTCGAAGTGCTACCTGGCAGCACAGTGGCTATATGGTTAGCACTGCCGCCTGGCAGTACTAGGGTTGTTGGTTTGAATCCCAACCACAGCACCACCTGCCTGGAGTTTGCATGTTCTCCTTCTGCCTGCGTGGTATTCCTCAAGATACTCCAGTTTTCCTCCCACACTCCTAAGACATGCTGGTAGGTTAATTTGATCCTGTATAAATTGGCTCTAGTATGTGTATGTATGAATGTAATTTAGGGTCCTTAGATGGTACGCTCCTTGGGGGTTAGGGACTGATGTGAATGTGCAATATATATGTAAAGGGCTGTGTAAATTGACAGTGCTAGATAAGTACTTGAAATAAATAAACCTTACCTAAAGCCATTCAGGGGATTTACTTAGGCTGGCCATACATTATACAATTATCTGCAGATTTTCTGCCCAATTTCCTTTAGATTTACCTTCAACTATGTAGTGCAAGGGCCTGCCTAATTGGATACAACTGAAAGTGTTGTTTAGGTTTGTCCTCCTATTATATGTTTTTTGGTAAATCTAAACCAAAAATCTGCAGATAATTGTATAATGTATGGCCAGCCTAAGTCCAGAGTAGCCATTATCTGGAGCAGCTGTGCATGGCAACCAATCAGCTTTTCATCTTCATTAAGCGTTTACAAATCCAGCAATATCCAATAAATTTCTGATGAACAATGTGCATAAATGTTAGTCACAACTATGTCATTGCCACCAAAACCTGCCATATATGCATTTTTTATATTTGTATAGTTTTAATAAATGTATCATTGCTTTACACAGTTCATAAAATAACTAATGCTCTATGAACATAGTTTACAATGTAGTGCCCATGTCAAAGCACACATGTACTAAAGGTGCTTAGCTGTCATACAGTGGCGTCACAGACCCAGAATAAGTATGCATTTTTTTTTTTTTTTTTTACACAGACTTCACTTGCTGCATATTTATTATGGATCAAGTAACATTTTGAGATGGCAAACAGAAATGGCAGCCTATTTAATTTTCTCATGGCTGATTTCTTTAACCCACCACTATGGTATAGACTGTGAGAAGAAATCAGAGGACAAAACAGAAACCCACCAAAACATAGAGAAAATACAAACTCAATGCAGATGGTTCCTTTGATAAGAAACTGAATTTAGGACCCTAGCTGCACAATGCCATGGAGCTAACCATTTAATGGAAGAAGTGCAACAATCTTTTCTTGAACTGCTAATATATCATGCTGCAATCTAATCATTGCTTTTTTGCCTGTTCAGACATTCACTTCTAACTGACTCACCATTGTTGTGGATACAGTCCATTAACTTTTGCTGATGATGCCTCCCCTCTGTGATAACCTTAGACATTCCTTCCCCAAACCACATCAAATTTTTGACTTATCTTAACTTTGGGCCTGTAAATGTTATCCTATAGCTTTGCATCAGGAAAAAAGAAATAGTTAGTGGTGGATTTAAAAGCAGTATGCCATGCCCAAATATATCTTCAAAACAAGACCATGTTGCTTCTGAAAATATGACAAATGTTCTGACAATTTAGATGTAGGAATTGGATATAACACTGCATTTGTGCCTGGATCAACCTAATGGCCTTAAACTATTTATTCATTTTTAATGAAATTGTATTTCCTTACACAAAGATACATAAGACACATTACAAACAACAAATAAAACAAAATTACAAGTTTCAAAAACATCCGACAAACATATTCATAATCCATCAAAACCCAAAAGTGCTGCAATGTGCAAAGACAAGAAGAGGGGAAAAACCTCCAATCTAAAACCACTCTGGGAGTTATACTGTATGGCAGCAGAGCCTTACATATAGCTTGGACTTAAATATGCCTCACTCAAAAATAACATAGGAAGTAGATATATGAACATATTGCCATAGTAACCTATCTCGGATACCTTCCTGTAGGGTCGCCTGAGGCACATTTGGCCATTTAAACAACTTTTTTTTCAAATTTTTTAGGGCATCTTATTTTTTGATACATCAATTTTTCTCCAAAGAAAGAGACATTA